CAATTTCTCCGTGAATCAGCCTCCTTCGAGCGTCTCTGGTTCCACCGTAAAAAGTTGATGTTCAGATGAAAATATATCAGTTATTTTCTCCTTCATGATCTCTGTAGAATGATATATTGGAACCTCTGTAAAAACTTCATTGTTGTTCATGGTGAGATGCTCTGTTTCGATTTTGCACTTGGTCCACCATACTTGGTGTGTTTCTTCATCAGTGCATGACTTTTGTGAGACTTGTGCATTTGACTTGGTTAGTCTCCATTTTACTTAGTCTCCAACTTAGCTAGTCTCCCAAGCTAGCTAGTCTCCGTCTCCCAAGCTAGCTAGTTTCCTTCTTGGTTAGTCTCCCAATGCTAGATAGTCTCCTTCTTGGTTAGTCTCCCAATGCGATTTAGCTAGTCTCCTATACGGTGGTAGTCTCCTTCTTGGTTAGTCTCCCAATGCGATTTAGCTAGTCTCCTATACGGTCCTTCTTGGTTAGTCTCCCAATGCGATTTAGCTAGTCTCCTATACGGTACTGGTTAGTCTCCCTCCCGTACGGTACTGGTTAGTCTCCCATACGGCTTCCATAGTCTCTCAAGCAAGTTAAAAATACTTCACTTTAGATTCAAACTTAGGATCATTTGGCATAGCTCACACGTGTATCTTCCAACTCCTCTAGCATAGCTCTTGGTGACTTATTCGCATCATAATTGTGTTAAGCTATAATCCCGCTTAACTTCTTCAAATAAATTATGATCTTCCAGACTTGTACATGGGTTGCATGATATGGATGCACCATACTCTGTAGACTCAAACTGACTCAAATAGAATAAAATTGGGGACTACTTGATTTTTCAAAAATACATTCGGCTCATCAAAATTTACAATTTATTCCTAACAAGTACATTATTTTATATAATGTACATTCGATACAAAAATAATGTACTTTTAATATATTAAAAATGTACATTCTTTTATGGTCCATACAACACTATGTGGAACATGGTCATCACAATAATTTACCATTTTCTTGCATTATAGACATGAATTCTATGTATTGGACCAGGGCTCACAGTGCACTGTGAACCCTAGTCCACGATATAACGATTGGAAAATTCTTAGATAGAGCAATTGGACTTTATTAAAAATCTTAATTTTATGAAAACAAAGTATTTAGTAGTTTATAAGAAATGCAAAATTATATATTGATTTTTAATTATTTTAAAATTAAAATAATAACAATGGTTAACAAATAAAAAATTTGTTACATTTTATAATTTTGAAACTTAAAATTAAATTTATGATCAAAATTAAATAACATAAGCATCTGCATTCAAAAAAAAATAACATAAGCATCTAAAGTAGTATAAGCAAAAATGATATATTTAAATAACATAAAAAAAAAATGTACCGTTCGTGATTTGATTAGTTGGCGTATTAAATGGTATATCCTCGATGCGAATTATTCGATTTTGAATGTTGTTATCAATAACGGTGTCAACCTCCTTAGACAAAATAGTTGTTTTGGTTGTAAATTTTCATTTTCTGAAATGAGTATTTAAAAATGTGTAAGAAATAGAAAGGTAGATAATGATAACAAAAGTGTATCAATCTTAAACAACAATCGGTAAAAAAAAAAAAAAAAAAAAAAACAGTTAAGAAATTTGAACTTGTTATTTCTAAATTATAACACAAAAAAAAAAAAGAAAGAAAAGAACTATACTATTTATTTAATACAAATATATAGTATGCTACATAATTTAATTGGTATTTAATTATAAAATTGTATTAAGAATACCAAATAAAAAAAACATTAGGTGAATTATTTGTTTACAATTCATTGCAAAATTGGATGTAATAAAAAAAATACACATACACACACACCTCTCTCTCTCTCTCTCCCTATATATATATCTATATATCTATATATATATATATATATATATATATATATATATATATATATATATATATATATGAGCTGCAAAAAACTAATAATAATTGAAAGCCCAACATTTTTGAACAAAATATATTAATAATTAAGAGCCCAAAGTTAATAATAGTTGAGACCCCAAATGCCTGAAAGTCCAAGTATATATTTTTCGAAAATCAACAAACCAAAGTATATTAAATTTCCAGAATGTCCAAACGGGCAGTACAAGAAATAGAACGAGGAATACAATCAACATAATCATTCTCCCTTCCCCTAAATCATCAGCAATTATACTGTGGACCGCGTTGCACATGCACCACGGTAAAAAATAACATCATTTTTTTGAGTAAAGAAATAGCGCGCCGTTACAGTTAATGGAGCGCGCATACTGGTGTCTTAATTACCAACAAAAACTACAGTACTGTATCTAAATTGACACTGTCTCACGTATTATTTTTGTATTATCAAGTGAAACTACAATTGAAATGAAATGAAACTGTAGTTGTGTTGAAATGAAATGCAGCGTATACAAAATGAAACTGAACAACAATTTCATATATTTGAGTGTATATTACCCAGCGAAATTGTAGTTATATTGAAATGAAATTGCAGGGTATATAAAATGAAATTGAATAACATTTCACAATTTTGAGTGTATATTATGCAATGAAGCTATAGTTATATCGAAATGATCATGTAGTTGTGTTTTAATGAAACTATAGTGTATACAAAATAAAATTAAATAACATTTTCACATATTTGAGTGTATAAATATCGAATGAAACTGTAGTTATATCGAAATAAAACTGTAGTTGTGTTGAACCGAAACTGCAGTGTATACAAAATGAAATTGAATAACATAGTTACTTTTTGCGGAACGGCGCGGAACAATGTGAAACGAGTACTGTTTCTTTTCATTAAACAAAACAACTTCGTTTTGAAGTTCGCTGCATAATCAATTATGTACCGCGGTGCACAATATAATTTGCCGTGAATCATCTAAAGACTTCTTAGCAATTACGTGGGCTAACATATTTGCATCCCGTTTAACAAAATTTAAGGAAACCCAAATCAATTGTTCTAACAAAAAACGAATGTCCTAAATAAGTAAACTAAAAGGCGTATTATCCGACCTCCACAAACCGCGATTGTTACTAGTTGCGCGTTTCGACCACCACACGACAATGACGTCGTTTTTTTAAAAACGCGCATCCCACTTTAAAAAAAAAATTCAGTTTCGATTCCCCTCAACAGCATTATGTTGTTCATTCATTCTGGAATTTTAGTTCATAGATTCTGGATTTTTAGTTCATCGATTCTGGATTTTTAGTTCATCGATTCTTGAATTTTAGTTCATCGATTTTGAAATTTTAATTCATCGATTCTTGAATTTTAGTTCATTCATTTTGAAATTTTAGTTCATAGATTCTGGATATATAATTTAAATTATGCACAATATAATGTTGTTGCTGGAATCGAAACTGATTTTTTTTTTTTTTTTTTTTTGAAATGAGATCCGTATGCACCATACATAATACATACGGATGCACATCATAATTTGCCCGACTCCACCCCTTTCGCTTTAACCAACTCAATGCCTCTCGAACCCTACGACTTTTGCTTCACGAACGGAAAATAAACCATAAACTGTGTGCATACCAACCCCCATCACGATACCACCATCATCCCGCACAACGACCCACACTAATTAACCCCATTCGTTTGTTTACAAAATCCATAGCAGTATCCATGGATGGGGCCAAAGGGGGGCAGGGGTCAGCTGACCCCCTCACCCCACCCCCATCTCATATATAATTCTTGTATGTATATATGTATATATAGTATATGTTTGAGTATTAATATAAAAAAACCATTGAATGTTAATAAGAAATGAGTTAGATTTGTTGGTAGAGCATGTGTTTGGTTATAATAATAAAGTTTAGGGGTTCAAATCCTTTGGTGTTAATATAGTTTTACAGTTTTTTTGGCTCTTTCCATATGGCTTCAACATAGTCATGTTTTATTTATTTTTTTTTTTGAATGCTACTGACTCTATTACAATGTAGTATCTGTTCATATAGTCACGTTTTAATAGTTTTTTTTTTTAATATTTAACACACACACATATGTATATATATAACATTATTTTATATTAATAATGAGATGTTTAATTTAATTATAATGAGTTTTTTAATCAAATTATTTTATCAAATTAATTATGTTTCATATTTTGTTATGAACATTTTTATAAAGTTTCGATGTGTTTTATTTTTCGCCCATATCCAATAATATTTAGACCTATATTTCTGAGGTAATTTATTATTTTTAAATATCTCCGTCCCTTGCAGCATCCACATTAATTTTCCAGTAGCCATGCATGGGAGGACTCCACCGAATATTAGGGACAACAAGGGCGGGCAGCCGGGCACGTGACGTACCATTTCAGCTTGGGCAGCACACGAGTTCCGAACATATTGCAAAGATTGAGCCCAATGGTTATATTGTGCACCAAGGTCCAAAGTGCACTGTGGACCCTGGTGTCAATCGACTCCACATAATCCAAAAGTCCAAGTATATATATATATATATATATATATATATATATAAATTTGACATTGAAGATCAGGCGAGAAGAATAAGAGGCTGCAAGATAGCAAGAAGACGAGTACCGGTGAAAGTTGATCGGAATTAAGGGAGCAATGAAGTTGAGAAATTGGGATTGAAGGAAGAAGAGAGCAATGAAGTTGAGAAATTAAGATTGAAGACTTCAGAAGGCATCCAAAAAATTCATAGAAAAATCTATGATCAACTTGATGGTAATACTCAGAGCATCTTTATTGACATTGCTTGTTTCTTTATTTGACTGAACAAAAATGATATTGTTCAAGATTTTGGTGTTCAATTTGAAACTGGAATAAGAACTTTGATAGAGAGATGCTTGTTAACAATACATAGAAGTGAAGCTCCAGATGCACCCTTCAGTGTGGGAGATGGCAATAGAAATTATTCGAAATGAATCCCCTCATGATCACTACAACTCTTATGCACACTACAACTCACTTTCCTCTTCTCTGATCGTTGCTCCATCATGGTATCAGAGCCACGGGCCAGTTATGCTGCTGTGGTAACCGGAGCTGGAGAGTCCAGTGAAGGAACGCCTGTCGCTCAACCTCCCGGCAACGGTTCTCCGGCGATTGATCCTCGGCGAAGTCAGAGCAACAGAGAAGACATAGACAACCCTCTGTACTTGAATAGCAACGAGAGTTCTAATGCCGTCCTTGTTAGCCCACCCCTTTCCGGCAGCGCAAACTACGTGACCTGGAGCATCTCAATGCGAGTCGCACTTGAGGTGAAGAATAAATGGGGAATCGTAGACGGAAGCATCCTAGCCCCAGACAGATCGCACAGCCAGTACGCAGCATGGAGGCGCTGCAATCTGATGATCTGTTCGTGGATTTGCAGATCAGTCCATCCATCCATGGTGCAGAGCATCGTCTACATGGATGACGCCAAAGAGGTGTGGAACGATCTGAGGAAGAGATTCGCTCAGCGAGATGCTCTCCGTATCTCCATTTTGCAAGGCGAGATTTATGCTTTGAAACAGGGAAGTTTCACAGTGAATGAGTATTACACCAAATGCAGAGCGCTTTGGGAGCAGATGAATGAGCTGAGACCTATCCCGATATGCAAATGTCTTCCACGAGGCTCCTGTGATCTCCTTGCCGAGATCAAAAGTGAACGGGAAGTTGATCGCATCATCAGATTCCTCCAAGGTCTGAATGACGAATTTAACTCTCTTAAATCTAACGTGTTAGTCCTTGATCCTTTGCCAGATATTCATAGAGTGTTTGTGATGGCCGAGAAATCTGAGAGGCAAATGAACCTTGTTCACATGACTGGCCTAGAGGTCAGCCATGCCAATGCAACGCAATCTGATCCGGTTCCTAGTGAAGAAACCATTGCTGCCGTTAACTACTCCAATGGCAGGAAGTACATGAACAACAATACACACACCAGGTCGAAATGTACGTATTGTGGTATGAATGGCCATATGGTTGAAAAGTGCTATAAGAAGCACGGCTATCCCCCGGTTGGGTGCCCGGTTTCAAGTCAAAAGCCAGGCAACAAATGGCAGCAGCTTCCACAAGCAACGATGGTAACTTCTCCCCTGAGCAAATCCAAAAACTAATTCCTATGTTGCAGAATCAAGCTGGACAGAGCCTTCCTTCTACCACTGCTGCCATAACACTCACACCTACCTTCAAGGAGGATTCTCACAATGAACGTAACTACTCAATTAATACTCATATTAATTCTGTTAGTTTGGAATCTTCTGCCTGGCTACTGGATTCGGGAGCTACTGACCACATAGCATGCTCCATAAATATGTTCAATGATTATCACTCAGTAAAAGGGGCAGTAGTAAATCTGCCAAATGGAAAGCATATTCCAGTACAACACATTGGGAATATAAGATTGAATGATGACTTATGGCTGAGAAATGTTTTGCATATTCCAGAATTTCAGTTCAATATTCTATCTGTTGCTAAGTTGCTTCGAGATTCATCTTATACTCTAGTCTTTACTGCTGATCAGTGCTCTGATACCATGATGGAGCAACGATCAGAGAAGAGGAAAGTGAGTTGTAGTGCGCATAAGGAAGAATGTGGAAAACTGTTATTGAAAAGCTTATCTCTGGAAAGGAAAGATACAGAATATAAGCAAAGGGAAAAAGGCGCCAAGGCCGTTACAATCGTTACAACAGAAAACGAAGGAGAAAAAGACTTGGCTACCCCTGTTGAATATCTATTAAAACAAAGTAGATTTATGAACCCAGATGATGTCTATGACGTGATAAAAGGCAAAAAGGTAAAATATTTCTTTTCTAATTAATTATTCATGTCAATTCATTTGTTTACTCAGTTTTGTATTTAAAAAATTATGATGTCTTATTTTTCTATAAAATGGTTATTTATTTATTTATTCAAAATTAGGATACAGGAGCAATTGAAGGGATGTATGTAGATTCTAATATGTTAAAGAATAAGTCTTTCAGTACTAAAGTACTCTCAAGAATGAAAAATTTACGAATCCTCAAATTGGATGATGTGCATCTCAAAGGATCTTTTAAGCATTTACCCAAGGAGCTTAGATGGTTTTGGTGGCAGAATTGTCCTTTGCAAAAGATACCTTCTGATTTTCACCATGAAAAACTTAAAGTGTTTCACTTGCAAGGTAGCAATATCAGAAGTGTTCAACTCAAAATGCAGGTTTGGATGTCAAATGCTTCTTTTAAAATTACATATTCCCTAGGAACTTAGACTATAACATTATAAAATTAAATGATTAAAACCCTTTTGTCTTGATTTCAACAGCATTTCAAAAGCTTGAGGATCTTAAACCTTGGTGATTGTGAACGACTTAAAGAAACACCGAATTTTACTGGGGCAGAAAATCTTGAGATACTGTCGTTTAAGTACTGTAAAAATTTGGTCGAGTTGCCCTCATCAATTGGATGCTTGGAGAGTCTTACTGAGTTAGATTTATCATTCTGCCAGAAGCTAAAGATGCTTCCGAATAGCATTTGCCAGTTGAAATCACTTAAATTTTTATATCTAAATGATTGCTCAAGCCTTGAAAAAATTCCTTGGGAGTTGGGAAAATTAGGGCAACTAAGGAAATTACTTGTTCACAATACTAGCATCTCACATTTACCAATTTCTTTGGGACATTTGAGGAATCTCAAGATCCTATATGTGGGACCACCAAAATCAAATCCTCAATATTTTGACAATATTTCTCATATTGATAGCTTTTTTCCACATACGGTTAGAGATTTACGTTCCTTGGAAGCTTTTTATATAACTTACCTCCAGAGCATTCCCTTCAGCCGCCTTTGCAGTTTTTCCAGATTGGAAATCCTTGAATTGGAGGAATGCCCTAATCTTAATGAACTTGTACAACTTCCTCCTAGTTTGCTCAAACTCTCTGCAAAAAACTTGTCCCTCATTGAGAAAAATAGATATATCAACTTTGAAAAGACTCAAGGAGCTGTATATTCCCAATTGCAAGAGTTTGATTGAGCTTCCAGGCCTGGAGAGTCTTAATTCCATACATAGACTTGACATAACAAATTGCAGTGCTTTGACTATTCCTTTGACTGAAAGCTGCTACCAGGTTAGTTCTTTCCTTCTGATCCATCTTGATTTCGATCTCTCTCAAATTTGGTGTTATTAGATGGTCATCATGCTCTTTATATTGTTTTATTTATTACATTATAATGCATGTAGGCATATTCAAAAGATGGTGATGTCGAGATTTGGCTTCAAATGGTCGGATCTTTTTTGTATTGCACTATACCATCACTATTGAGGCGTAAGTTCTTTGATATCATCCATGGGGGATTTGATCCTAATTACACTTGTGAAGCTCATATCATTGTCAGAAGCAGAACAACTGGTGCTTTGATTGTAAAGAAAGCCAAGCATGTAGATTGTAGGTGTTTAGAGCATCGCCACCCGTTAACACTTCACTTTAGATTGGAGGATGATATTGTGATCAACACGTCTGAAAGATTTCATTTTAGGGTCCGAATAAAGGTTGGGGAAGAAGTGGAGGTGTATGCAGTGTTCCAACCTTTGAAGATATTTAGCTTGTGTGTATTACATAGAAACATAGATGGTGAAGTGCGCTTCTTTCCATGCCCAAAGGGGTTCGTGGAATTTGTTGAACTAGCAATAGATGATGCCACAGAGAGAGACCATCCCTTGGCCTCTAAGGAAGAGGTTGGAAGTTCCAGGGAGAAAGGCCTCTAAGGTACGCTAACTGTTAGAAACATTTTAAGTGGTTATTTGTGGTCCAAATTAAATATTAGTAAGTCGATCTACTTCTAGATTTGAGTTCTTCAAAGTGAAACCAAGAAATCGATATATTATATGCTCAAAACATATAATGGGTAGATATTAAAGCATCAAAAGGTGCTTTGGGTTTAAGCACTTCTCGGCCATGAACTTCTAAGTGTATATCATCTAAGTGTCACCTTTGGACTTACTATTTTGGAATATGTAATGCTTGTCTTTGTCATTATAGGGGTACACGACTCCCCTAGAGATGACTCAAATTTTGCTGGGGGCTTTCAAGAAATACGAGGTGGAACGGCTCTATCAAAATGATACAACAGGTGTTATTGAGATGGAGGAGTCAGATCCAGTCTCTACTATAGTCGAAGAAGATATGGTTCACCCCCTTCAAAGTGATAGCACTGTTGGAGTTAGGAATTTAATGCGTAAACTAACTATAAAGGAGGTTGATGTTTCTTCTGACGACGATTCTGAGCCTCATTTACCTGCAAAGGTAATGATCTAAAGTATCTTTTATTTCAAGAATAAAACGCTATGTATGGTAGTATATTTATGTTAGTTCCATTTCTTATTTGAGGATTATATTGATAACTTGTATGGTACAAACTTTTTCATTTAAATTTGATAATTATTTCAACAGAAATCTTATAACAATGAGGGTAGGTTGCCGGAAAAGCCAGAAAGAATTGATAATCATGAAGTTCTGGAGTTATTTTTTACTCCAAAGAAATTTGAAGGGCTAATCGTGGTTAAGCTTGGAGAAGGCATTGAGGTTACAGGTACTGGGATGTACTCACTCAATCCGGGAGAAATGATACAAGATGATGTAAGTGTTTTTTTTCTTTGTTTTAATTTTTATTTAACCAGTTTTGTGTTAGACTGACTTAAGTGCATTGAGATGTATAAAACTGTGTTGTGTTGTTCTACCAATATGAAGCCAATTTTGAGGATTGGAAATTTGAGACAGTTAGCTGGGTACCTCAACAGGGTAACGGGGTTGATTGTGGAGCTTTTGTTATGCTCTTCATGGAAATGGCTGATCAACTAACAAAGCATACTGAATTCAACATTGATATGGAGAGGAGACGAATAGCGCTGGAACTTTTATATCATCCTAGGAATGCTAGACTGTCTTTGGTGTTGGAAAATTTATAAAGAGATTAATAATGTTCATGAATTCTATCCTTAAGTGGTTGTACTTCCTAACCACCATTTTGAACATCTTTAACTAGGTGATCCGGCTGCATGCATTAGCATAGCAAGTGGCAAAGCATTACGGCTACCTGTAAGAAAATAGTAAAGGGAATTGAACATACATTTTCTCATCTCTTAGCGTTTGCCTTAGCTTTTGGCAAGTTTTCTCATGTTATAAGTCTATTGCACTATAAACCCTGATCCAATACACAAAATTTAACTTTATAATATACAGAATTCATGTTTAAAATGTACAAAATTTATGTTCATAAATTCTGTACATTATAAAGCAGAAAATGATAAACATACCATCATTCAAAATGCAGAATGGTGTGCTCAACAAACTACTAAACACTCCAACTATAGAGCGATTTCCCAAGTTACAACAATTAATACCTTCTACTACTGGCCAAACACCTTATACTCAGATGACATGTAATGACTTCTTTTATGTGGGAGGTCATGAAATCAAACCTCAATGAAAGCGTTATGCTTCATTAGATTGAGGAAATATGTTTAAACATATACTAAATAGAGTCAGTAGCATTCAAAAAAAAATATCATCTACTACTAAATGACTTTTATCATTTACTGATAGGGCAGAATTTTCTACATGAAAAAATGTAAAGAAATCATCTATATAATTCTCATGGCAATGTATAACACCTAATATTTAGACAAAGGAGAAAATTAAGATTTGCATACTATAAAATGAAAATCTAATACTACTATTAGACTCATAATCTACATAAATATTTGATTATGATATATTAAAATGTATTAAAATTGGAATACAACACATCATTCATAAAATCAATTTTCATATATAAAACTAATCTCATTCTCCAATATTTAAAATTGCTATTTAAACACAAAATATTATTTAAAAAACTCGTAACATCAATAACTAATATATTATGTACAATTGAAATTTATACAAATACATATATACACACACACACACACACAAATAAATAAATAAATAAATAAATAAATAAATAAATATATATATATATATATATATATATATATATATATATATATATATATATATATATATATATATATATATATATAGATTTTGGATCCAGTGAGATCACCCCAATCAGTGAGATCATGAGAGCCTATCTCATTCATTGATAAAATTTCAATGGATGGATAGGATTAAAAGTAAACAACAATTAAATAAGGATAGATTTGAAAGACAAAGGATGAAAGAACAATTGTATTTTGGTTTTTAATTTTGGTTATATTTAAAATTGAATCTTTACCATAATATTAGGGACCCTATCAATGGTAATAACTAATTATATTTTGTACCTTTGTAATTTTAAATTATGGAGAATTTTACGGTGGTGTGTGTGGGGGTGTGGAATGGTGTGTGCGTTTTACTGGACTAAGAGTTGTTCACCATGGCGTGATGGTTTTTTTCAAGAAATTATGCGTTTGGTGTGTGTGTTTCGTGTTACGGGCGTGTGCATAACCTATACAAAAGAAAATAACTATACGATTATAATTTGGATTTCGACGTTTGAATTTCAAGTAAATAATCAGTGCATGGTAGCTATAGTATTGTGCTTGTTTTTTGTTTTTTGTTTTTTTTTAAATGTGGGGAATTTTATGGTGGTGTGTGCGTGGGTGTGGTATGGCGTGTGGGTTTTTCTGGACTAGGAGCTATTCCCCATGGCGTGCTAGTTATTTCCCCAATATTATGCGTTTGGTGTGTGCGTTATTTGTTACGGGCGTGTGCGTAATGTATCCAAAAGAAAACAACTATACGAATATAATTTGGGTTTCGCCATTTGAATTTCAAGTAGATAATCAATGCATAGTAGCTTTAGTATTGTGCTTGTCTTTTTTTTTTTTTTTTTTTTTTTTTAATTGTGGGGAAGTTTACGGTGGTGTGTGCGTGGGTGTGGAATGACGTATGCGTTTTTCTATAATAGGAGCTGTAACCATGGCGTGCTGTTTTTTTTTTTTTCATAAAATTATGCGTTTTGGCATGTGCGTTACGTGATACGGGCGTGTGCGTTTTGGTTTGTGCGTTACTGGTTTTGGGCGCGTGCGAAACGTATCTAAAAGAAAACAAAAATATTCGAATCTAAGTTGGGTATCGGCGTTTGAATTTCGAGTAGATAATTAGTGCGTAATAAATATAGTATTGTGCCTGTTGTGTGTGTGTGTTTTTTTTTTTTTTTTTTTTTTTTATATTGTGGAGAATTTTACGGTGGTGTGTGCGTGACTGTGGAATGGTGTGTGCAATTTTCTGCAACAGGAGGTGTACACCATGGCAAAATATAAAACGCACACACCATTCCACACCCACGCATACACCACCATAAAATTCACCATAATTTATATATATATATATATATATATATATATATATATATATATATATATATATATATATATATATATATATATATATATATATATATAGGTTCTGGTGCGGTTGGCAGCCACATGTGTGGTTGTGGGGTTAAATCTGAGCCATTGATTTTGCTTAAATCAAAGTCCAGGATTTCCAAAATAAAAAAAAAATGCGGTGACAATTTAGTAATTTTTGTATCTAAGTCAAATTTAAGGTGCATGAGTTTTGTGCTTAAGGTGCGTGGGTTTTGTGCTTAATGTGCGTGCATTTGTGCTTAAGGTGCGTGAGTTTTTGTGCTTAATATGAGTAGTTGTTAAAACATAAAGTGCGTGGATTTTGTGCTTAAGGTGCGTGATATTTGTGCTTAAAGTGCGTGAGTTTTGTGCTTAATGTGAGTAGTTGGTAAAACTTAAAGTGCGTGGATTTTGTGCTTATGGTGCGTAAGATTTGTGCTGAAGGTGTTTGAGTTTTGTGCTTGCGTGAGTTTGTGCTTAATGTGAGCCATTTTAAAATCTTAGGTGCGTGGATTTTGTGCTTAATGTGCTTTGTTCTGTGCTTAAGGTGCGTGGTTTATGGACTTAAGGTGAGTGATTTGTGTTCTTAAGGTGCGTGGTGATTTGTGTATTTAAAGTGTGATATTTTAATGCTTAAAGTGCGTCCAAACGCATAACCGCACGGGAAACCATTCCCGCACCTGAACCCTTCCATATATATAATGCATGCGGTTCAAATGCAGATGATGTGCTCAGGCATGAACGTGGAGTTAGATGAGAGCCATTAATCTTGCTAAGATCAAGGTCCAGGATTAACAAAGATTAAAGAAAACGCGATAGCAATATGACCTTTTTGCATCTAACTCAAATTTAAGATGTGTGGTTTTCCTTACATTTATATAAATTACTAGTATTTTTTATGCGCGATGCACAAAAAATAGGTGCCCAATATTAATACATTATATTAAAATTTTAAATTTATTTAGATTTTAGATATTTAAATTATTCTAAATAATAATAATAATGTAAATCATTTTTATAAATTTGATATTTATATTTTAGGTAATAATTAACATATAACTCAAATATATAATGTGTATATATTATTATTAATGAAGAAGATAAGAAAATATATGGTGGATGCATGTGCATGGTAACAATAGTGGAAAAGATAATGGAAGTTATAACGGTAGGGGTATGTTTGTCCAAAATATTTTAAAGTACAACCTTTTATAGCATAATGTACAAAAAAACTTAACGGAAAAAACGGACATAATTGAGGGGTATAACTTTCATTCATACTTATTATGATTTTAGATTAGATTAGATATGGTTCTGATCATTTTAAAAAAAAAAGGGTAGCA